CGTCTTATCAGGAACAACTAATAACCTCTCAACAAAGGAATTTCCCAGGTAGTAACAAGCCACACCTTGAAACCCTCAGGCCATCAAATACTAATCAAGGTGGCTAATTGAAACATTCACACCTAGCTCCAACAAATAAGAATTCTTTCTCCCACACTGGACTTTCCATAGATATATAAACCCAATTTTCCTAGTTTCCAACAAACCTCAGAACTTCCGAGGATGCCTGTCATAGATGTGGGCAAAACGTCAGGAGAGAATGCTTCTAGAACATGGCCATACAGCCCAAAAAACCTACAACAACCCAGTGATTCCGGCCATTAAAGCCTTCGATAATATAAGAAAGAGTCAAATGTACCAAAGGATGTGACCAGTTTTTTAAATGATTTTATTTCCTTCCGAAGGAATCGTCTTGCTTTACAAATTTACAGGTGAGAGCCAACTCTGGAGAGATGCACCCAAAGCAAATACAGCTTTGTTTTTAGGTGGCAGCTGTAACAGACTCGGTTCTTTCCTTTGCAGAACTCAGGCCTGAGATGTCCTACAAAAAAAGCTGAGCATCCTGTCAATAAATTTAATGCCTCCCCCTTAAGCACTTCTTGTGCAAAGCAATACAAAGTCTCGCCACAATTTAGTTGCACAAATTTGCATGGTGACAGAGACACAAGGAGAGCACAAGTTAGAAGCAAAGAAGGAGAAGCAGCTGGCTTATTTTCAGAGGAGAAGAAAAGAAGCCAATCATTCTGAGCACTTCAGGAGCAAAGATGTGGTTTGCATTTGGTTCTCGTACCCAAGAGGTCTGGGAAAAGCAGGAAAAATGGAACAAGATGGTGCAAACGGTCACAGGAATGAGAAAGACAGCAGACAGAAAGAAAAAAGTCACTTCTTTGCACCAAAACACATGTCTTATCTGTAGGCAATGCATGGAAATGAGAGGGATGAAAGGAAGGCAGTGACCACATCTCTCCTCTGCCCAGTTGAAAGGACTCCATCTTTGCAATCAGCTAACACTTTGTGGTGTCTAAAGGACTTCGCTTAGATCTGGTGGTCAGTCAGATCCAAATCTCCAGACCAGCAGCCCAGAACTGACCCCTCAAAAGCTAGGACAGAACTGCAGCCAGGGTGATGGGTCTGTTACTTTTTCCCAAGTTGAGCCTTCGCGTGGTTGATCTTGGCAGCGACCGCTGTGTCGTTGCATTTGGACAGGACGAGGCTCATTTCCGTCTCGTTCTTGCGCTCGATGGCGGCATCCGCAGCTTGGTTCAAGTCCCTGGTGCCAAAGCAGAGGGAGATAAAAGGGGAAAGTTTTATCAGGCATGGACAAACTATAGCCCTCCAGATGTTTTGGACTTCAACTCCCATAATTCCTAGCAGCCGGTAGTTCATAGAGGGAGATGCGTTCAGACGCATACCCTGTTTCCCTCAAAATAAGAGAGGTCTTATATTAATTTTTAGGAGCCCCCAGTGGTGCAGTGGGTTAAATCTCTGAGCTGCTCAACTTGCTGATCGAAAGGTGGCAGGTTCGAATCCAGGGAGCAGGGTGAGCTCCCGCTGCTAGCCCCAGCTTCTGCCAACCTAGCAGTTCGAAAACATGCAAATGTGAGTAGATCAATAGGTACCACTCCCGCGGGAAGATAACAGCTCTCCACACAGTCATGCCGGCCACATGACCTTGGAGACGTCTATGGACAACGCTGGCTCTTCAGCCTAGAAATGTAGATGAGCATCAACCTCCAGATTCGGACACAACTGGACTTAATGTCAGGGGAAAAGCTTTATCTTTACCTATGCATAATTGTCTGTCTGTTTGTGCATTGAATGTTTGCCACATATGTACAGTATATTCTGTGGTCCGCCCTGAGTCCCCTTCGGGATGAGAAGGGTGGAATATAAATACTATAAATAAATAAACAAATTTTACAGAATCGCCTTGGGGTTGGTAGGTGGGAAGTCAATTTTAACCTTTATAACATTTTTTTCCATATAAGTGGAGGGACAGGGAGATACTTTTTTTTCCAGGGAAGAAATAGGTTGTACATAATATAAGTTGTGTATGACATATTACACTTTTATGCCAGATTTAACACTGTACTTATTTTACTTATATCACAATAATTAAAAGAGAAGGAAGCAGTTAAACAGGAGATAACACTTTCAAACCAGGAACAGTATTT